CAAATATTTCTGATATCTGAATTTATAGAATGAAAGGAAGGGAAGGGAGGGAAAATTCAAAATTTGAATTCAAATTTTTTTTTTTTTGGTTGGCGGCAAATAGCCGTTCACAAATTTAATTATTCAGCGTGTAATAAAACAGAATTAGACCCATATAGCGTACTCAACATGACTCACTAAATAAATATGAACTTGGACTAAGAACAATAATCAAGAAACTCAAGGATTCTACCAGTGAATTACCGAACTCAAGGTGGCTCCTCCATCTAGCTATACCATGATATAATCGTTATTTTCAATTTTTTATCCTGATCAAATTACATTCTTTGAGATGGAATAGAAGGCAAGGAAGATCTGTGTGGAAGTTTCTCAACAGAAGAACCAACGCCAGCCAGGGCAAACAACAAAAACAAGAAATCTGTGTGTGTTTTCTGATCACATGCAAGCTGCCAAAAGATCTACCAAACCAAACACAATATGTTTTTTTTTTGTTTTTTTGTTTTTTTTGGTTTTCCGTTTTAGTCTTTTGTCTGGGTCTCTGAGGTTTGTGTTCTTTATGTATATTATTATGGTTTTTGTTATACAGAGAGTTCCCATTTCCCAATCTCAATCAGCGAGTCGGTTGCGCGGAACACGAGGTTTCCGTTGTTGGGTTTCATTTGTTTCCCGGGGGAGCTTTTGCGTGCTGGTGACTGCAAAGAATATCGTCTGGTCTTTGGCCTGGCTTGGGTCTGAAACCGATAAATTCCCCCACCCCACCATCACAATTCACATCACGACAACTAGGATCAACTGCACCACCCCCCATGATCCCTAAATCAATTATTCTATATTACCCCATAATTGCATTCAGTCTATAGCTTTGATCCACACTAATTATTGATGAAAAATACGCTTGATCCCATTCAGTTGTCATTCTTCTCTGGTCACTAAGTAAATTATAGGATTGGATCCAAGCGAGACTCGTTGGTGTTTCCGAAGGTATGAAGCTGTGTTGTAGGCGAAACCCTGTTGACGTCGAATTGATTGAAGGTGTCTCCCCAGATTTAGTAGGCCCCGCTGTCACAAAGTTGCATGTAGGGTTGAGGTTGCTGGGTGATAAAAGAAAACACAATTAGAGGATCAGTCAAGTAATGGTTGGTTAGTTTCAATAACTCGAAGCAATAGGTTATTATATTGGAGAATTATCTCACTACACCTCATTAAATAAGATTTTTAACCTTACACAAATTCATAATAAAGTATTTTAAGTGAGACATTTGGTTAGGATAGTTTAAGAGGTCGTTTGGATGAAGATCTTGAGAAAGGAGACAATTTGATCAATTCACAAAACAATTCAAATATAACGAGTCAATTTGAATTACTCACTCGGCCCCTACCTCTCAAACAATTGTAACTGTCTCAAAATGAATCAATTCGAAATTCGCCAAGCTAAATTTTTCTATTCAAAATTTCATGCTCTCAAACGAATCAAAATGAGAAAATCAAATCAATTTGATTCGTTCTTAAAATATCATATATTTGACACAATCGTACCACTTGAGAAAGGGCTGGGGAGATGGACCTTTTAGATTACGATGTCTCTCATTTGAGTCATTACCGAGTGCCTTCTATGGCAATTTTAGCTGAACATGATGTTTTTAATGTCCAAGAAGCTAGGATCGGATTCTCAGCTCATGTCTCCTCATGTCTAGCTGGATTGCCTTCTCAGCCTGGGAGTTCTCGATCGTCGACCTTATCACCGCCCGGTCCTTTCACTAAGGTTGTGCATTGTGATGGTTCCTTTGTTTCTGATGCACAGGTGGCGGCTTATGGGATTGCTATTGCAAACTCCCGCGGCTAGTTTATCGATGGGAAGGCTGAGCGGTTCTTTTGTTCTTCTCCGTTACAAGCGGAAGCGTTTGCGATTCTTAATGCAGTTATCTGGGCGGCCCAGGACCCTGTACCAACGTGTGTCCGCTCTGATTGTCAGAGGTTGACGAATGCATTGAGACAGGATCCGAGCCTTTGGCCTTGGCAGTGTCGGGCATCCATTGCTCGTGTGGTTTCCATTCTCTGTGTTTCTCCTTGGATCTCGGTTGCGTTTGTTCCTCGTCGATTCAATAAGTTAGCTGATTGGATCGCTAGGAACTCTCGTCTTGATCTCCTTCCTCCTGAATGGATTTTCATTGCCGACCTTGTCGCTCCATTATTGTAATCGTTGTGCTCCCCCTTGTTTGGGTTTGGAATGAAATGAATGATGTCTGTCGTAAAAAAAAAAATGTCTAGTGGGTATAAACATTTTGAAACGCCTTGTTTGTTGTCAAATGAGACACTTTGGATAGTTTGCAAAAATTTGGTACCGGCGGCAAGTTAAGAATTTGTCAATAGTACTTGATTCATTTTTCCCTAACACGATCATCAAGTTATATTTCACTCCTCGAGCTGGCCGCATCTAGTTTGTTTCCTCTCGTGGATCGTCTCATTAATTTCCAGCGCCGATGAATGTAAAATTTTGCATATGTGGGCCCTTGTTGAGCAATTTGTTTTTGGTGGCTGCAGCTCTCATTCTGACGTGCAAAAAAACAGAGCGGGCCGCCGGCCGTATTATTAGCTGGTGGATGGTGGTGGTGGTGACGCCGTGGACCACCGGAGAAGATCGAAGGTGGTGGTGGAGGTGCAAATCAGAGGGGCATTGTGGGGTCCGCTGAAACCATGTAGTTAGTTGCAGCCACGCGAGAGAGTGGGACCCACTCAAAAAGAGAAAGTTGTAAATAGCAGGAGGCTGGCTGGCTGGAATGGCCTGCCTGAGCCTCTGCCTATCTTAATTCCCTGCTGGATTTCATATGATAAAACTTTAAAAGGCCGCCATTGAATAGAACCAGCTCATCCAGTAATGTAAATACCATAATGATTTTCTACTGTATATAATATGTATACGTATGTTATTACTGTATAGTCCTGGAGTCCCGTTATTGTAGGAAATGAACTTAAAAGAAGAAGCTCGGTTCCACCCGGCGAGGTTGAAAGGGTCCTTTACTAGAAATGAAATCCGCGATTTATACAATCGACTTGGAGAGGTTTCCCATATTCCCTTTCGAGATTCGAGGCTGTATTTCCAATATACCAGACTTCTAAAAAAAACCTAATTTCGCGTATGCCTAGGCACTAAGTGAAAAAACGTTTCGTCTAGGTTATAGGCAGAGAATTAGGCATTCATATCGCGCCTAGGTGGAAGTACACACGATTAATTTGCTTGAAGCGTGATTAATTGGAGTCAGGCACACTTAAGAAATAAGCTCGGCTCCACCCGACGAGATTAATTGACAGGGTCCTTTACTGGGATTTATACAATCGACCTAGAGAGGTTGTCCATCATCCGTACCGAGATTCGAGGCATTGAGGAATTCCAATATACCAGGATTTTAAAAAAAAAACTTAATTTCACGTATGCCTAGGTCAGGTGTTAAGTGAAAAAAATGTTTCGTCTAGGTTATAGGTAGACAATTAGGCATCCATATAGCGTCTAGGTGGAAGTAGACACGATTGGTCGGGTTGAGGCGGATTAATTAATTAGAGTGAGGTAGGCTTAATTGTGTTGACAGAACGAGGATTAAAATAATTTGTAGTTAATCTTTCCAAAATGACACCATCTGCAGCTACCCTATATTCGAATCTACCCTTTGTCATGCCCTTCATCATTGTCGACTACAAACCATCCACAACCACGACTTCTATAAACTTGTTGTTATAGGAAATCATGACATATTTTGCCTGTTGTTGAGGGTTTGTTAAGTTATTAATCATTTTTAAAATTAAAACTCAAAGATAAAAGTGATATAAAATTATTATTACTGTTGGGAGTGGTTAATTTTGCTAAAACGCTCAGGCACCGCTTAGGTGTGCCCACTGCTAGTCGCTAGGCATGACCCCAATACCTGCGTTGTCTAGTGCCTTCTTGAACCTTGCAATATACTTACTTGGATGTCAGACTCTACGAAGGTGACACGGCTCTTGACGGTGGTGGATGTACCTTCTAATAAACCAACATACAAGCTAGCCTTTTTTTTCCGTATCAAATACGAGAGTGATTTGTTAGGATTTCCCATACTTATAAACATAGAATTTTTTTAAACAATAGTTACAGCCTTACAACTATTGGTACAATACAATCATGATGACACTTGTGATTCCCAAACCTCATATATCAGCAAAAACTTTAGATTTTGGTGGAGTGAGTGCCTACTAAAAACAACTAATGTACATACAAACTAGGGTTGGAATGATGAGCTTCTTATACGTGCAGAATGCCAAACTTAGTGAGGAAGGAAATTTTTTTTTTTTTTCCTTCGTTCAGTCCAATATCCCTTTACTCAAAACTTATTACCTGGCCGGCCGGCCGGCCAGCTACCTATAGGCTACTATAGGTAGCGCCCCCAATAATTTTGTAGCCGCCCCTCCTGCGCTATGTCTGTCTGCGGGCAAAGGATTACCAGTTGTGTTTAGACGACAAACAAGTACACTCTAGTTTCTTTCTTGATTGGTAAGAGGTAATAACAACCATTATTATTTTTCAATTTTCATACATCTCCAACGTACGGCAACCAAAAAAAAAAACATTCTCTCCCTCTCTCTCCCTCTCTCTCTCTCTCTGTCTAAGTGGGTCGACGTCGGTTTCTGGGGTGGGTTTTTTTTTTTTTTCTCTCACCACCTTTATATATAAAAAGAAGGTTGGGGAGGGTGGGAAGGCACAGATGTGGGCTTACTTGCATCATCCATCCATCCATTCCCTCTTCTCACTTTTCCTAGCTTTCCCTTTTCTCCCTCTTCATCTCTCTCACTTCATATTCCTTCTCTCCATTTCTCTAGAGAAATCACACCCCATCTTTCAAAAATCTAGTGAGGGTTGACGAGAGATCATCACCTGAGGAATATTTGTGGGTAGTAGTTGGATCTTTGGTTATTGCTTCCTCTCCTTCTACTGGTTTCTGTGGTGTGGGAAAGGTTCTTACTTTCATATAATGCATGAATTAATGGATCCTTCAATCGTCCAGCACCAGATGCAGCAGCAGGTAATTAATTGGACCAAATTTCTAAACCCCTTTTTTAGCTTTGATTGCCAGTGCTCTCTAATACTCTTTTTTTTTTTTGGGGTAATTCCCTGGCTTGCTGCTGACTTGTGCCTTTAGTTCTTGAGCTAATTAATTAATTTTCCTAGTTCTCTAAACTGATCCCACTTTACTTGTGAGAGCTTTCTGGGTTCAATTTTCAGCTCTAGTTCATAGCTAGCTATCTGGGGTTTTTCTTCTTCTTCTTCTTTTTCTGTTTTGTTTCTTGGCCCATCCGTCATCTCTTCACCAAGCCTATCATATCTTTCTCCTTGCAACCTAATCATCTTCTCCAGATTTAAGATCAGGGTAGGTCGAGATAATGTTTTCTAAGGACAATTATATTTCTAGGTTATATATCTCGGGAACCAGGATTTGGTATGGTGACATTATCATCTAGTTTGGATATAGAGGTTTCAGATTTGAATTACTAGAATTAGTACTCAATTATAAAATCAAACATATTAATGTTTAAGGTGTATGTAAAGGGTTTATGTTTTTGCCGACATTTTTGTACTGTTCTTTCTTGGATCCGTGGAGGTGTAAGAGAAAGGAAAGGAAAACTAATTAGGAGATCATCATGTAAATCATAGCTACCTACTTAGCCTAGAAAACTAGCTAGGTCGGCAGCTTAATATTTGCAGCAGCAGCATAATTATTCCTACACAGCAATACAGATCATTGATTCAAACCCTACCTGCAGCAGCAGCAGCCATGAACATTTACGAATCCTTAATTATCAGTTATAAATATCATCGTACAAATTAATACAATTACATTGCTCCATCCACCAAAATTCAGACCATTAATTAATAACAATATGCTAACTACTTAGGTTCCGGATTTGGACATTTGCAGGAAATGTCGTCACACTCACTCGAGACCATGCTGCAGGCCAACTGCTCCTCCGCCGCTGGAAAGCCAACCAACTCCGGCGGCGGAGCCGCGGCGGGCGATCAGAGAAAGCCCCGGCCGCAGCCCGAACACGCGCTGAAGTGCCCGCGGTGCGACTCCACCAACACCAAGTTCTGCTACTACAACAACTACAGCCTCTCCCAGCCCCGCTACTTCTGCAAGTCCTGCCGCCGCTACTGGACCAAAGGCGGCACCCTCCGCAACGTCCCCGTCGGCGGCGGCTGCAGAAAGAACAAACGCTCCTCCTCCTCCAACTCCTCTTCCGCCACCTCCTCCGCCACCTCCACACCTTCCTCCTCATCTTCCCTCCTCATGACCCACTTGCTCCCGCCGTCCTCCATCTCCTCCTCCGCCGCCTACGACTCCAACGACCTCGCCCTCGCCTTCGCCCGCCTCCAGAAGCACCACCACCAGTTAGGGTTTGACCACGACCAAATGTTCAACGCCGGCAACAACTTCCTCCTCCACAACAGCTTCCTCGACAGCGGCAGCAATCTGCAGGGGCTGTACTACGGCGGCGGAGGAGGAGGGTACGATGGTAATTCCACCTTCGAACAGCAGAACCACGAAATGTCCGTGATGTCGGACCATTACACCAGCGGTGACCAACCGGACAACGAACCGGTTTCCGGGCCGGCCACGACCCAGGCGGTCACGGTGACGACGATGAAGCAGGAGTACTTGCTGAATCATGGAAGACAGGAGGAGAGTGGCGGCGGCGGTGGTAACAAGGTGCTGTGGGGATTCCCGTGGCAGATGAACGGGGGATGTGATAACGGCGGGAATGTGGTTGTGGATAATAATAATAATACGATGAGGATGTCGGAGAGCGGCGGCGGAGGAGGGTGGTGGAGTAGTGGTAACGGTGGGAGTAATGGTGGTGGCGGAGGAGTGATTGGAGTCGGCGGCGGAGGATCATCGGGGGCGGCTAATTGGCATGGACTTCTCAACACTACTCCCTTAATGTGATGACCACTAATTTCATCACTACTACTACTCACTAATAGGCTTCATCATCCTTCATAGACTGAAAAAAAAAAAAAATCCATGATTACTTTCTTTTTAGATTATAATTAGGGGTCTCTTCTCTTCTCTTTTGGGGGTTTTTTTTTGGGAAGTGGTTGGTTGGGTGATTTGAGAGATTTGATGTTGATTCAACTACGGGGAATCATGCATTTTGTTTAATTTCTCTCTAGTGATCTCCCTATTAATTTGTTCATTTACTTGGGTTTTTAATATTTGGTGTTTATCTGGGTTGGTTGGAGTGTTAAAGTAATTAGTCCGTGTTTAGGGTATGTCTGTTTTACCGTGTCATGTATTAATGAAGTGATGGGTTTACGGATTAGTCCTGAATGCGCTATTCAATTTGTTTAGTGTAGTCATTGTTATGGATTCTGATACGTACGCGCCCGAGAATCGATTTTGCATTGGGGGTTGGTGGGAGATTGAGGAAAGGAATGAATGGAAGTTAGAGGATTGGTATGGGTTGATGTGAGTGATGGGAATGGGATATGGAAGTCTCTCTCTCTCTCTGGAGTGAGTAGTGAATGTCATTGAGAAAGAGGTTTGAGTGGGTTGATGGTAAGTTTCATGGGTATGAGAGGTGTGAACAGTCTGAAAAATGAAAGGGTGGTAGTTGCAGAAGACCAATTTGAACAAGGATGGAGGAGTTGGTGTTGTTCTCAAGATATTCTCCATTCCATCATTGCTGCTTACTTTCAGGTAGATTCTTTGCCCCCCTCTCCTACACCTCATTTTAAATGAATACTCCCCCTCCATATATACTTTCCTCTTTTGATTATTCCAAAAATACAAATAACTAGTTATATTATATGGCTTCACAACCTTATAAAGATCTTTGGTACTATTAGCATGAGCTTGTATTAGTACAATGGCACTTGCTGATAAGTAGGTGTTAGCACATATTGACATATTTGAATCAAACCACTATTGTTACATAAAAATAACAACCGAAACTACAAGATTGTGCAAGTATCTTATGCATAAACTGACCTCCATTAGATGAGAACGGTAGTAAACCATACCAAATTGGTAGAAAATCCGTGGATCAAATTGGACCCCACAGTTTGGTATGAATCGTGAAATCTTAAGAATACTTTAGTATGATCTATGTTATTTAATTTGTAATGGGATATTCTGATAATAACTTGGTCTGGTCCAAACTATCATTTATTTAACCAGTTCGTGGATCAAACCCACTTTTCGAATTCGTGTTCGCACTCCACACGACTACTCTCCTCACTCCTCAACAAGATCCAAATCTAAACCTTAATTTTTCGAACTTCATCTCATTCGTTCATAAATCACACTCTGCCAAAGAGTAGAGATGGTTGCACCTTCATTTGAAATGATGCTATTGTTTTATGATGTTACGGATGGATGGAGGTTGAGGTACTCTGACTTTGTTTATTTGTCAATCACACGAATTTAACCATCAATATTATGCTTGCCTTTTGGAATTTTGGTATTAAGACAAAAATGATTTTTTTATCCTCGGTTAGTGGTTCAAATTTTTGTTTGATAGATCATATAAATTGTTCATTGTTTAGCTCAAGATGGTATGACTGGTCCCATCATACTAGACCACATAGGTTTGATCTGACTTGGACCGTGTAACATTTGGTCTGATATCTAATATGTACTCTAAACTCTTGATTTGTACCATAAGCTGTATTCACATTATGATATGGACAAGACTACACAATTTTCATGTCCTACTGCCAACATGTACATTTCATATTGTGTATTTTTTTCCACGTATGGTTAAATATGGGAGCCCCTAATAGATTTCAACGAACAAACCTAAAGATCCATGGAAAATATGGTACCATATATTATTTTAGAAGGGAGTAAGAGCTAGAGAGGATAGTGGCAGTGGCACCAATTTCGGGAATTGATTTGGGATATTGAGCAGACCAAATCCAAGTTAAAGATTTGGGCGTGAGAGAATTGGGAGTCAGTCCACCAGATTCTCATTTAATTAATTAATTAATTGATTAGTTGTTTGTATTATGTTTTTTTTAGGGCTGCTGCTGCATTGCACATTGGTCGTCCCTTATACACCATTAAAGTCAAGCCAGAAGAATATATTTTGTCGTTATAAAATATTTTGGCGGTGATTCCCAAGCTGTTATTCTCCCAATCTAAACACTATCATATTAATTAATTAATTAGTTAATTAAACAAAGGGATGAAGATAAGTCAGTGGGGGTGTTTTATTCTTTGCTTGTGAGCTGCGTCTCTTCTAATTAAATGCATGGATTCTGTGGTCTGATTAATCTACGGCCAGGTTGGCAACAAGAGAAACCCATATCCTTTCCTTTTCCAGTTTTCTTTTGCGGATATATATATGATGTGGGCCCGAATGGGCCGGACCAGGATTTTTCAGCAAATGTAAGTATGTAACGGTTGTCTGTCAAGTTGGTTAGGCCCACTAGAGCAACAGGATCTTCACGCTCCCCTATTTGATGATCAACCAAAACAGATTTCGATTGGTAGCTTGTTGGTTTGGGGAATGGGGAAAGTGTTTTCCGGGACATGCCTTTGCTCCATGCACAAAAAGCATGCCCAGATGTAACATTACGTAACCTCTTGAACTTGACGGAGAAGCTGGCAGCAACTACCAGAGCTCACTCTCCAATCTCCATTCAATGTTGTAGCTGTGACAGATTGTTTCAGCATCGATAACGACCAGAACTCTTGATTCGATAGGTCGTTGTTCAAGTGTCGATAAGTATGCCTCCTCCGATATACTTTCTCGTGGCTATATCGCGTAATTCACAGACTTGTACCCTTAGAACTTTAATCCAGACAACTGGTTTCGTTTAGCACTTCTCCCCATACACATTACACACCCTTGGTCTCTGTATGTATGCATGAGACTTCAGACGATCATCGTGTTCAATTAGTAGCCTAAACTACTGGCTGCTATTTCTCTGTTTAGAATCCATGTAGGAAGTGTTGACAAAGATGTATTGTAAACTGACAATTTATTCATTGATGAAGATGAAATATATATACAAGACTCTTAACCAGAGCCAGAAAACCTCGGCTTTGAGGAACAACCCTAACAGTTCGATCCCTGGGAAATAGCTCCCTGACTAACCTCCTCCCCTATTTCAGCTAACAGCCACAACGGCTAAATGACCCGACTCGCACAAAACAAAACACTAGGTACCAAAACAATAAAAGACCACACGACGCTGTTTTATTTGCTATCACTAAAACGCATTTAAACAGACCACCACTCTTCTTTCCTTCTCCGGATCGGATTCGGATTCAGAACCAAACTTCAACTGCAACATCTTCCTCCCCTGAACTGAAGTCTCCTGCAATTCCACTACTTCAGTTCACTGCATCACCATTGTTCCTTCATCCTGCTTGAATTCCTCTTCTGCACACATTCCCAGCTGGTACCTCAGAGTCTGAAATGCATCCAGATTGAGGGCTTTAGTCATAATATCAGCCACTTGTTCATGGCTCCTGCAATGCTCCATTTCGATCACCTCCTCTTTAGCCAGGTTCCTCAGGAAATGAAAACGCACATCAATGTGCTTACTCCTGCCATGGAAGACAGGATTCTTGGATAGTTTAATGGCTGAACTGCTGTCACACAGAACCTTTGTAGCAGTAGACCCACTGTCCCTCCATCCCATTTGCTCGAGTATCTTCCTTAACCAGACACACTGTGCAGCACAATAAGAGCCAGCCACAAACTCAGCTTCTGTTGTAGACAAGGTGACGACTAGTTGCTTCTTTGAGGCCCAGGATATAGCTCCTCCTGCAATGAAGAACACATAACCACTAGTAGATTTTCGATCATCCAGGTCCCCTGCATAGTCACTGTCAGTATAGCCAAGAAGGTTGTCATTTTTATCGTTCCTCTTGTACCAGATGCCATGAGTGCTTGTCCCTTTTAGATATCTCAAAACCCTTTTTGCTGCAAACATGTGTTGCCTGGTGGGAGCTTCCATGAACCTGCTTAGCATGCATACTGCATACATGATGTCTGGTCTAGTAGCACGTGTGTAGAGCAAGCTCCTAATCAGACTCCTATACTCAGTAGCATCAACTTGAACTTCATCTCCTGCTTTGGTGAGCTTGGTTCCAGGAGCAATGGGATTCTTTACAAAATTGCAGCTTGAAAGACCAAACTTGTCCAGCACTTCCTTCACATACTTCTGCTGGTTAATGAAGATTCCTGCTTTACTCTGATGCACTTCAACCCCTAGGAAGTACTTCATCCTTCCAAAGTCGGTCATTTCAAATTCTGACTGCATAGATTTCTTGAAATCTTCTATGAGCTCAGGACTGCTGCTTGCATACATAAGATCATCAACATAGAGACTGACCAGCAGTATGTCACTACCAGCCCTCTTTATGAACAAAGTATGTTCATAATCACTTCTCTTAAAGCCTGTTTTAAGAAAGTAAGCCTCGATCCGGCTGTACCAAGCTCTTGGGGCTTGTTTCAATCCATAAAGAGCCTTTTAAGCTTGTAAACCTTCTGCTCCTCCCCAGGGACTTCAAAACCTTGAGGTTGCATGATGTAAACTTCTTCTGTCAGCTCTCCATGCAAGAATGCACTTTTTACATCAAGCTGGTACACTGGAAATCCATGGTATGCAACCAATGCAAGTAGAGTCCTGATAGTATCCCATCTGGCAACTGGTGCAAAGACTTTAGTGTAGTCTATGCCATGCTACTGAGCATACCCCTTTGCCACCAGCCTAGCTTTAAACTTATCCATAGATCCATCCTCCTTCAGTTTGGTTTTGAAGATCCACTTGACTCCAATTGGAGTCACCCCTGCAGGAAGTTCCACTTGTATCCATGTGTCATTCTTTTCAATGCTTATCATCTCTTGTTTCATAGCATTCCTCCATTTCTCATCCTGCACAGCCTCTTCAAATGTAGTGGGATCATCACTGATGGTCACCAGACAGTCTAGTCCTGCAAAATAGGTGCAGTCATAGATTGACAAATGCCCTAGTGGATGTCTATTCCTGGGGCCTAAACCTCCACTAGGAAGTCCAAGCACATCAGGATTACTGTCATCCCCTTCTTCTTCCTCCCCTTCATCCTGATGTGCTGTAGCTGGAGGTGGAGTTGCTGGTGTGATGGGAGTGACTGGTTCTGCTGCATTTGGAGTTGCAGATTCTTCTTCTTCTCCTTCTTCAGAGTCATACCATGGCTCATCACTTCCATCCCACACAACCTTGGTTAGCTCTGGTTGTGTTTCAAAATCCCAGTTCCAGCCCTTTGTCTCATAAAAAACCACGTCCCTGCTGATAATTACTTTCTTGGTGACAGGGTTATATAGTTTATAGGCTTTAGAATCAGTAGACAAGCCTAGGAAATAACACTGCATGCTCTTGTCATCAAGTTTCTTCCTCAAGTGATCATTCACATGCACATATGCCACACACCCAAAGATCTTAAAGTGGCCAACAATTGGAGGTTTACCTGTCCAAAGTTCTTGTGGTGTCCTTCCTGAATTTGCATAAGTTGGACTTCTGTTCAACACATGACTAGTCCAGGCAACTGCTTCTGGCCAGAACACAGCAGGAACCTTCATGTCAGCTAGAGAGCACCTGACCATGTTCATTATGGTCCTATTTCTTCTTTCTGCAACCCCATTTTGTTGGGGAGTCAATGCAGCAGTTAGCTGCCTCCTTATTCCAGCAGCTTCACAGAGTTCCTTGAACTCATTCAAGAGGAACTCTCCTCCTCTGTCTGTTCTGAGACAGATAATGGATTCTCCTGTCTCCTTTTCTACTTGAGCCTTGTATTTCTTGAAACAATTCAAGTTTTCTGATTTTGCTTCAAAGAAATATACCCACAGTTTCCTACTGAAATCATCATTGATTATCAGAATATACCTCTTGCCTCCATTTGAGGCTGGAGTGATTGGTCCACATAGGTCAGCGTGGATCAATTGAAGCCTCTTGGTAGCTCTCCATGTGCTTTGCTTTGGAAAGCTTCCTCTGTGTTGTTTTCCAATCTGACATGTAGAACAGATTCCCAGGTCTCCTTGCAGTTGTGGCAGCCCTTGCACAGCATTCTTCTTCTGCATTTGCATTAGACTTTGGCAATTGAGGTGACCAAATCTCCTATGCCAAAGATCCAGTGTGTTGATACTGGCTTCCTTCTGATGCAGACAAAGATGATCCCCCTTAGAGTTGTTTGACTGCTTTTGAGAGTGCAGAACAAACATTCTGTTGGTTTTCATTGTTGTTTGCAGTAGAAGACCCTTTTCCTCATGATAAATTTTGCAGGTACCACCTTTGATTAAGAAACTTAGCTGCCTTTCCTGCAATTGTCCCACACTGAGCAGGTTTTTTGTAAGACCAGGCACATAGAACACATCTCTGATGGATAATGAGACTCCATCAACTACTAGTCTCACGGTGCCTGTTCCAGCAACTGCCATCTTGGTTCCATTCCCCAACTTCACACTACAGTCACTGCCAGCTTCCATTGAGATGAACCACTGCTTTTCACCACACATATGATTGCTGCATCCAGAATCCAGAAACCACCAGGTGTCCTTCTTTTCAACAGACTGTGTGCCTAGATGTGCCATAGAATTCTGCACACCCACCTCCTCCTTCTCTTGCTGTTGCTCCACAAATGCCATCAGCAGCACATCTTCAGTCATATCAGGGTAGGAGTTGTTGGGACCCTTGGGGCGAGAATCATAGCTTGTGTAGTATGCTTGTTGATTGTCATACCACTCAGGACATTCTGCTTTGAAATGACCTAGTTTATGGCATTTAAAACATTCCACCAAGTCACGATTCAACCCTCTTCCTCTTCCCCTTCCTCTACCTTGAAACATGCCTCTCCCAGAACCTCTTCCACCTCTGCCTCCATATTCAAACGTCATTTTCAATGTCTGTTCTTCCCCTGTTGGAGGTTTGGCAAACTTTTGCTCATGGACTAGTAAAGAACTTTGCAAGGCTTCAACACTCAGTTCATCAATGTCCTTAGATTCTTCGATAGAACAGACAATGTAATTGAATTTGGTGGACAGAGTTCTTAATACCTTCTTCACAATCTTCACATCTGGCATCTGCTCTCCACAATTCCTCATGGAATTAGCCACTGTCATCACCCTGCCAAAGTAGTCTGCAACAGACTCTCCCTCCTTCATCTGTAGTAGTTCAAAGCTTCTCCTAAGACTCTGAAGCTGCGATTTCTTCACCCTTTCACTGCCTTGGTACCTTGTCTTCATGGAATCCCATAGTTCCTTCGTTGTTGCCTTCTATGTTATGGTCTTCAGTATACTCTTGTCAATAGAACTAAAGAGATAGTTCTTTGCTTTGAGATCCTTCCGTCTCTTTTCATCCAGCCCCTTTTGTTGGGCCTCAGACAGCGGTTCTCCTTGTGCAGGCTCCCTTATTCCATCTTGAACCACTATCCAGTACTCTTTGGATCGCAGCAGGTTCTCCATTAGCAAGCTCCAGTGGTCGAAATCCCCCATCGAATTTGGGTATACAGACCTGGGCAAAGCTGATTTCACTCATGTTTTTCACTCACCAGATGCCTCGCTGCACTTGTTCACTCGTGTTTCCCAACCCAGATAATCACTCGTTCTCTTTCTTTGAACTCACAAATCACACAGCTCTCCTTGGTTACAGCTCACAAACACACTCTGATACCACTTTGTTGACAAAGATGTATTGTAAACTGACAATTTATTCATTGATGAATATATACAAGACTCTTAACCAGAGCCAGAAAACCTCGGCTTTGAGGAACAACCCTAACAACTCGATCCTTGGGAAATAGCTCCCTGACTAACCTCCTCCCCTGCTTCAGCTAACAGCCACAACGGCTAAATGACCTGACTCGCACAAAACAAAACACTAGGTACCAAAACAATAAAAGACCACACGACGCTGTTTTATTTGCTATCACTAAAACGCATTTAAACAGACCACCACTCTTCTTTCCTTCTCCGGATCGGATTCGGATTCAGAACCAAACTTCAACTGCAACAGGAAGTTGGGAACTCGTCCGACACAAGAGGCATAACGATCCTCAACTATTAAGATAAAACAGGCATTTAGAAATTTCAATATGCATAGTTCAAAGAAAGAAGGGACGGGATCAGCTACGATAGGAAGGAGGAAAACAGTTGGTTTCAACGAGCAAATAAAACAAAGTGCAAAGTGATTACAGGGGCAGTCTGTAGATCTTGGTTTTTAAGTAGAGTAAACTAGGCTGAGAATTTCTGGCGAACCATGTTTTTTTTCCTCACTAAACTGCAGAGTTGAGCAACACACATTACACCCTAGAAACTCACACCTTACAACAGCGTGGTTCGAAGTGAAGGAGCAAATTTCCCAGAGTTGTCTGAAATTAAGATCTTGGTTTCTCCTTCTTCTCCTTGAAGAGAGCCAAAAGAGACACACCAGACACTTTGACAACCTTGAACCTCACACCAGGGATATCTCCGACAGCATGACCCTTCCTACCGAACCCAGCGATAAGAACCTCATCCTGAAATCAGAGCAGACAGAATTGCAGTTAGTGGAGAAAAGAATTTGGTTTGGTAATCACAACATAGAAGTGGGTAAACCATACTACAGCTGCTGCTTACATTCTCCTCAATATAGTTTAAGCAACCATCATTGGGCACAAAAGCTGCAATCTTCTTGCCATTCTTGATTAGCTGAACTCTGGCACACTTTCTGATAGCAGAGTTAGGCTGCTTGGCTTCAATACCACTGTAGAGATTCAACATTAAAAGTCAAACACCATTGGGATCATCATATTAGTTCAGCTATAGTCTCCATCATCCACTCAAACAGAGCCAAAAAAACCCAAAATGCTGAAGGAAATGCCAGAATCATACATCTTCTCCAGAACAATGCCCTTGGCATGAGATGATCCAGCAAACGGCTTCTTCCATTCGTTTCCAAGATTGGATTTCTTGTAGGATTTATCAGCCCACCTCTGCCTCCTGCGGTGGGACTTCAGCTTGCGACCAGCTCCCATTCCACGAGTCTTCCTGCGAATCCCCAACACAAACTTGCGTTCAATATACACATTTACTTATGAAACGAACATAAACAAACCAATCCGCCAGCAAACATCTACCCATTCCAATGGTTCAAACGGAGCTTCCTAGTGAAGCCAAGGAATTAGCTTCTTTCACAGGGTAAATTTCCCAACAAAGTTTCCAAATATTTGAAACAAGAGCCCTTCTAAATTCGAATCAACTAACAGCGCGATGAGTTCCATTCAGAATTTATAAACGAATCATTTACTTCCCTGAGCAATGAATTGCAATCAGAATTTAAAGCAAATGGTTAACCAACTTTGTTGAGCAGATTGTTTAGCTTACCCCATGATTGCGTTGCGAAGAGGATCTCTGTTGTGACGACAAGCGAAGAGCAGAGAGTGGAATCGTAAGCTTGAGGCGCCGGCAGCTAACTCTAACTCTATGTGAGAGAAGAAGAGAGAAAACCCTAATTTGAGTTTTTAAGCCTTTAAACTGCGGACCTCCTGCTACTCTACTGTCTCCGGATAGTCCAGAATCAGCTAATCTTGGGCCGCGGCCCGTCCCATTTGGGTTTTGTCTCATATAATTAATGGCCCATTATTTTCAGGGGCAGACAAGCCCAATAGCTCAAGGGACTAGATACTATAACACCACCCCTTGTGTTGTTATTGTAACAACACTAGCCTCCAACCAATAGGAAGCTAGGATTGTGATAACTTTTTATTAGATGAGTTGACCTAGTGTAAAATCAAAGCAGGGGTATAATTGTCATTATGAAAAATCTGTTTAAATAATAAAAAAATAAAAAAAATTATTTTATTTTCTGCCCAAAAATTTGGTCGCCGGAATTCTGCCACCGGTCGCCGGAAAATGGTCGCCAGTCACCGGAATATGCTTTTTGTCGCCGGAATATGCTATTTTGTCATCGGAATATGTTTACCGTCGCCGGAATATGCTTACCGGCGTCGGAATATGCTTACCGGCATCGGAATCTAGTCATCGGGGCCGGAATATGCTTATCGGTGCCGGAATCCGGTCACTGACGGTCACCGGAGTTCGGTCAACGAACTTCGTTGACCGGTCAACGGTCTTCATTGACCGGTCAACGGTCAACGATCACCGGATGTTATGGTCTGCATTGTGAGATTTATGGTTTGGTTTCTCATATTTTTGTACGCCTTTTGTGGTTTGCTTTATCGTGTTTGTGGTTTGCATTGAGAAGTTTCTGGTTTGCTTTATCGTGTTTGTGGTTTGCATTGTGAGGTTTCTGATTTGCTTTCAAAAATTTTGTGGTTTGCATTGAGGGGTTTCTGGTTTGTTTTAATATATTTGTGGTCTGCATTAGGACGTTTATGGTTTGATTTTTTGTGGTTTGATTTACTGTGTTTGTGGTTTGCATTAGGAGGTTTCTGGTGTGCTTCGCAAATGTTGTGGTTTGCTTTGTGAGGTTTGTGGTTTGGTTTAGGAGATTTGTGGTATGCATTCGGAGGTTTCTTGTTTGCTTTATTGTGTTTCTGGTTTGCATTAAGAAGTTTATGACGTGCTTTCGAAAATCGTTGTGTTGTTTACATTTCTCAGCAAGATTTATGGTTTGGTTTCTCATATTTTTGTATGCCTTTTGTGGTTTGCTTTATCGTGTTTGTGGTTTGCATTAAAAAGTTTTTGGTTTGCTTTATCGTGTTTGTGGTGCATTGAAAAGTTTCTGGTTTGCTTTCAAAAAACTTGTATTTTGCATTGAGGGGTTTGTGGTTTGTTTTAGGAGATTTGTGGTAAGCATTAGGAGGTTTCTGGTTTGTTTTTGTGGTTTGCTTTAACGTGTTTGTGGTTTGCATTATGAGGTTTATGGTGTATTTTTGAAAATTTTGTGGTTTGCTTTGTGAGATTTCTAGTTTGTTTTAATATATTCTTGGTCTGCATTAGGACATTTCTGGTTTGTTTTTTGTGGTTTGCTTTACGGTGTTTATTGTCTGCGTTATGAATTTTTTGGTGTGCTTTCAAAATATTTGTGGTTTGATTTGTGGTGTTTCTGGTAGGTTTTAGGAGACTTAGTGGTTTGTTTTAGAAGGCCAGGTTACAAATAATGCACAAACATATTACAATGTCCAGTAAAACTGTACACTGAAGAGGACAGCTTTTGCTACTCTAAACCCAACTTCTTTTACCAACTGCCAGTACCACTTTCAGTGCTCCAAGAGGAGGGTACTTGGCTCTTATTCACTATCTTTTGTTATTAATTTCTTCCCAGTAACCTTCATCTCCACAAGAACACTCGCCATCCTTGAAATGGTGGAACTCCTCTGTATCCCTCTGACAGAAATTTCCCGACGGACTACCGTGGAGATGAATTTGATTAAACTATGACAGCTTCGACACATGTAGAGGTTCTTGGTAACCCATATAGGCAACCCAGGAGCAGTATTAATTAGTCCAAATGCAATCGCTTGTCTCTCACTGTGCCCACAAAACATTTCGGCTTTTGATCTATTCGCTTCATCATCTATACAACTGCATTCTTGACCATCATACCCAGCTTCCTTCATTTTCTCATAAAATCCCTCCAATACTACATTTATATCTTTTGCTTGAGGATGATGGAAATTATCACCAGTTAGGAAAGAGTGAACTTTGCCTTTTGCTTCCACCCAACTGCAACCAGGATCAAGAACTAGCCCTGCTTCTTTCATCTGTTCTCTTACTTTGATAACTTGATCCCATTTACCACTGTCTGAATCAAGATTACACAACAGAACATAGTAACCAATGCTTCCAACCCCCAAATTGAAAATATTATGAGCTGCAGGTTCTCCGAGCTGGACATGTCGGTGAAGTCTAAATGCATTCAATAAGGCTCCCCAAACTGCCTGATCTGGTTGTATTGGCATGTTAATAATAACTTCACCAAATGCTCTTTTCCCTCAACACAGAAGCTCAAAAATGGTGCACCAAAAAGCTCGAACTCAGAATCATAGCTCCATCGTTTTACTTCTGTGTGTTTCGTGGTTCGTCTTCGTCGCCGAAAGCTGTCATTTCCGGTGTCATTAGCTTGTTGTTTTGGAGAATTCGCCAATCAGATCCCGAAACTCCTCCGCCCTTTTATCCACCACATCCGATTCGCCATACCCGAAGTACCGCTTCCCGACGACCATCCGAAGCATGGTGTTGAAGGCGAACCCTCTGAATTTCGAGCTCAGATTCACCCCTCGTTTGTCTCTAAACTCTGCCTCTCTGGAGAGTTCCGTCAACATCAACCCGGCCTCCGCCCGCTGGGCGGCGGAGAAGGCGGCGACGCGGGACGGGGAGAAGAGCTCAGTGGTGGTGAGGCGGCGGAGGTTGCGCCAGCGGTCGCCACCCGGTTGCTCAGATTGCTCAAGCCTGTAGCGCCACCCGGTTCCCAGACGTCGGTCGGTCTTCCCTGGCCAATTCCGCCTCGTCTCTCCAGAAATCCCCTACTCCAATCGACCTAATTCAGTCGGAGATTTCAATTTCCTCTTCCAATCTCTCGATCGCGCAGTCGATGGTGAAGTCGATTCTGGAGTTCTTACGGCCGGGAGCATGGGAGCGAGCCGTGACGAAGAGTACCGCCGCAGAGCAGGATTTTGGCGATGCAACTGGACTGCATATTCCCCTCGACGAACTCGTTAGTAGCCGACGACGACGGTGGTCGCGAAGCGCTGGACTGAGATAGAACGGCGGCGCTGCAGAGCAGGAGAGTCAGAGTTTGGGCGACGCCGTTGGACTTCACCCGATGACGACGGTGGTCGCGATGCTCTGGACGGAGAAAGAAAGGCGAAGTTGACGAGAGATGTGGAAGAAAGAGGAAGCGAAGGGATAAAGACGAGAGATCTGAAGGGTTGGGGTATTTGTTTATTTTATTTTAATTTTTAATTATTACTTTTAGTGAGTTCTCGTTTTTACCCTTATTGTTACTATAACAACATTATGGGTGTTGTTATAGTATCCGAACCCATAGCTCAACATGTGGTCTACCTTTCTGCTATTTCTGGGAAAGTAGGAATGGGCAAATGGCGAAATAATAACCAAGAAAGGAAAAAAGTGGTGGTGAAAGAAGGATTGAAGTAGGGGGACAACCGGTTCGGTAAACCCGAACTGAATAGAAACCGAATTAAACCGAACCAAAACCGAAATAATGCTATTCGGTTCGGAATTCGGAAGGGAAATATGGATATTTTGGAAACCAAGATTCTTTCAAGTGAACTGAATTTTCGACCAAAAAACCGAAATTCTATAATTGCAAGCTTCAAATAGTTATTTTTTTTAATGTTTGTAGTTGTTTTTAGACTTAAACATTTGAAATATTTTATGGCTTATATGTTGAAAAGTTTGATTTTTCATTGATGATGCATATAATTGCATATTTATTGGTTATATTAGGGGTGAAAAATAATTTAAAAGTGAGAAGATACAAGTAGTCTCATTAATTCGGTTTTTTTGAAAAACAGAACCGAACCGAAGTGAATTATAATTCGGTTAAATTGATCGAACTAAATTATAATTCGGTTCGAATTCAGTTTGAGGTTTGAGAGAATTCGGGGACCTGGTATTCATAATTTCGGTTCGGTCGAAACCGAACCGACCAAATGCCCACCCCTAGATTGAAGGAAGGAGGGGTTGCGGAGGGTCTAGTAAAGGATACTGTAGTGGAATAGGAGAAGGGTGAGAAATAGGGCAAAGATGCATCCCCAAAGTCTATCAAGAAATCAGTAGTGCAAAGTGATGACACTGGCAACAAAGCAACACAGAGTTAGGCTGGGGAGGTTAATGAAGTTAGGGCTCGGAAGTATATAAAAGTAAGTCCCAAGCTCAGAAGGTGGGGGAGAACAAAACGAGTAAAGGAAAGATTTCAGCAAATGGTGCGGGGAACCTATCCCCTTCGGGTCATAAATGAGGATACTGAGCTACAACTGCCGCGGGTTGGGGAGCAAGCGTGCAGTTCGGCAATTAAGGTCGCTACTGCGACTCTACTCCCCGAATGTGGTTTTCTTAATGGAAACTAAACAAGCAGAAGACGAAAACTAGAACACGAGGCTGAAGTGGGTTAAGAGAATGGTGAAGCGCACTCGACTGACTTATCGAGAGGAGGTCGAGCGGGGGGACTCAGTATATGGTGGCGGGAGGGCAACAACATTGAGCTGATGTCAATTACCCAAAATCATGCTGATGTCCGAGTAAGTGAAGATGAAGGAGGAGTTTGGCGGTTTACTGGCATCTATGGGTGGCCAGAAGATAGCGATAAATGGCAAACATGGGAGAGGCTTAGACTGCTGCCGCAACAATGGGATGGACCGTGGCTGTGTGGCGGCAATTTTAACCAGATAATGTGGCTGGAAGAAAAGAGAAGTGGACGAATCAACTCACACATGATGATTATTGATTTTGAGGATTGCCTCACTGAGGTCGGTTTATGGGACTTGGGTTTTCATGGCTATCCGTTTGCCTGGGAAAACAGGAGAGCGGGAAGTGCATATATAGAAGAGAGATTGGACCGGTTTGTTGCGGCGGACAGCTGGACTAACACGTTCCCAAATGCCTGAGTGCAACACAAGGCCTGGGAGAGATCGGATCACCGACCAATTCTTTGTGACATATGTGGGGAGGCGGATGAGGAACCAAAATGGGGATGAACTTTTAAATTTGAACCTCATTGGGCGAAGCATGAAGAGTGCCCTCGTGTCATCGAGGAAGCCTGGAAGGAGCGAGGAGATGTGGATATTCTAACAAAGTTTGGTTTTTGCAGGGAAAAATTAGATGCTTGGAGTCGAGAAACCTTTCCTCACTTCGGGCGGCAACGGAAGAGAATTAAGCGGGCGCTAGTTGTGCTAGAAAGGAGGCCTAGGTCGAAGCAAATAGCCCAACAACGAAAGCAATTGGAAGATGAGATGGACGAGCTTGAGGCGAACGAGGAGCTGTATTGGAGCCCACGCTCTCGAGCAGACTGGCTTCGAGACGGAGATTAAAACACAGCTTTCTTCCATAAAAAAAGCCTCAGCCCGAAGAAAGCGCAAAATGATCCGACGAATCAAAGATGGAGCAGGGAGATGGCATTCTGATCCAGAACAAATTTTTGTCTGTTTTACTGACTATTTTTCTCAACTGTTTACAGCGAGTCTTATGCCGCAGGCTACCCCAGTGCTAGACTCAATTGATAGCTCAGTAACTTAAGAGCAAAATGAGATGTTGTTGCGGCCATTTGAGCGGGAGGAAGTTGTGGATGCGCTAAAAAAATGGGTACAAGAAAGGCGTCGGGGTCAGATGGCTTAACTGTTTTATTTTATCGATGGTATTGGAGGATTATCGGTGATGATGTTGTGAAAGCGGTGTTGGGCATGCTGGAGACTGGTGAAATACCGCAAGGCATTAACCATACCCTCATCGCGTTAATTCCGAAGACAAAGAAGCCATCTAGGGCGCAGGAGTTTAGACCCATCAGCTTGTGTAATGCCATCTATAAGCTGGTGGCGAAAGTACTGGCTAATCGGCTGAAGATGGTTCTCGATCATGTCATTTCCCCATAGCAAAGTGCATTTGTTCTAGGACGGTTTATCACTGATAATATAATGGCATCTTTTGAGAGTTTCCACTCAATGAAAAAGAAGAAAAAAAGACGGGAAATGGGTGTTCGCAGCAAAGATAGACATGGCTAAGGCATATGATCATGTAGAATGGCATTTTCTGAAAGCAGTGATGCAGAAGATGGGATTTGAAGGGAGATGGATAGAGCTGATTATGAAGTGTGTTAGCACGGTTTCTTACTCAATTCTTGTGAATGACCATCAATCTCAAAGTTTCACTCCGTAAAGAGGGCTTCGCCAGGGAGATCCGTTGTCCCATATTTGTTCCTTTTATGTGCTGAAGAACTCTCGGCCGTTACAAGGGCATCAGTCAGGGAGAAGAAACTGCATGGGTTTCAGGCAGCTTGGGGCCCCCAGTGGTATCCCACCTTTTCTTTGTTGATGATTGTGTTTTCTTCGGACGAGCTACGACGGAAGAGAGTGAAGTGTTGAAGAAAACCCTACAAGATTATGCTGCAGAGTCGGGGCAAGTTGTAAACTAAAAGAAATCTAAAGTGTCTTCCAGTGAAAATGTCAAGATGCATAAAAAACTAATGGTGAGTGGGACACCTGGCATGAAACTAGTTGATAAGCACGACAAATACCTGAGGTTGCCAACGGTTGTCGGTCGTTCAAAACAGGAGATATTTAGCGGTTTAAAGGTGCGAGTCAGGAAAAAAAAAATAAAAGCGTGGAAGGAGAAGGTATTGTCGATAGCAGGAAGGGAAACACTCATCCGTGCAGTGGCTCAGGCTCATTTTACCTATGCAATGTCTGTTTTCAGGATTCTGGCTGCTGTGATTAACGAGGTTCATAGTCTGATTATGAACTTTTACTGGGGTCAAAAGGGAACTGAGCAGAGGATTCATTGGTTAAGCCGAGAAGGAATGGCGAGTCCGAAAGAAGAGGGAGGCATGAGGTTCAGGGATCTAGAGTGTTTTAACATGGCTATGCTTGCCAAACAGCTATGGAGACTGTCCCAGCGTCCAACATCCCTGATAGGGCGAATAATGAAGGCCAAGTATCATAAGAACATGTCAACTCTGGATGCGAATCTGGGATACAAACCAAGTTTTATTTGACGAAGCTTGTTGAGTGCCCATGAATTCCTCAATGAGGGTGTCCGATGGAGTATAGGAAATGGAACTAGTGTTCGCATTTGGGGGGGAACAAATGGCTACCCAAATGTTCCCCCAGATTTCGTGGAATCCCCCTCAGCTGGGCTTCCGGTTGACTCGGTGGTGAGAGACCTCATCGATCCCGTAACAGAACAATGGGATCCCACGCTCCTCAGCTTGTGCTTCCCCCAGTCGGTAGCACAACAGATTGCTCGCACCCCGTTGAGAGGAGAGTGAGAACAGGACCACATTGTTTGGGCTGAAAATGATGCAGGGTAGTTCACAGTGAATGAGGGTTATAAAAAGTGGCTTCGAGGTTTCTTAGCTGAACAAGCTATACTCCTAGCAGGTGAGACGAGGGTATGGAAGCGTATGTGGGCACTTAATCTTCCTCCAAATGTCAAGCACTTCATGTGGCGATTTATGAGGGGAATTCTACCCACGGGCGATCACATAAGCACAAAAAGCAGGAAATATGGAGATAAATGCCCATTTTGTGATGTCTGGTGTGCCATATTGTGGTGAATGTCAATGGGTTTCTAGGCTTTGGAGAAGAAATGAGTATGCAGATTTATTTACATGTCGTAGTGGGGAGGACTGCTATGAATGGGTTGTCAAGGTGCTAGACACGAAGGTGAATGAGGAAGTGGTTGTCTGGTGTGCCATATTGTGGTTTCTATGGCGGAAAAGGAATGCACATATGTTTAACGAACATCGCCTTGCTGAGGATGAAATCATCCCCCGCGCGCTAGCTTTCCTCCAAGACTATCACAATCAACAGTAGAGGACTGAACTTCCGGGACGGGTCGACGTGCAGGAGGAAAGATGGCAACGACCAGAGATGGGTCGAGTAAAAATTAACACAGATGCAAGAGTTTTTGGTGATGAGGACGTTGGTCTTGGTATGGTAGTTCGTTACTCAGAGGGACGTTTTGTGATGGCTGTTGCCAAACGGGTGAGTGGAAGATGGTCGGTGGAGGAAGCTGAAGCTCTTGCTGCGGAATTCGGAGCACAAGTGGCGTATCAGAATCACGTGCACAACCCGGTCCTGGAAATCGACAACCAAACTATAGTGGAGAAGATAACAAGAGCAAAGTCCATTCTTTCAGAGCCGGGCACCATTTGTCGAAGTACACGAAGGTATCTCTCTTTGATGGGTTTGCGAGCTGGCAACATGTTAATAGAAAAGGAAATATGGCAGCACATGTCATGGCACATTCCGAAACTAGGTGGGATGAGAGGGTAGTCTGGATAGATAGACCACCGATTTTCCTGATTGACCAACTTTAGTTGGAAAATGTAACTACTTCCATTGGTCAATAATAAGTAATACATGTTGCTATCAAAAGAAAAGAAAAAGGAATGGGCAAATGGCTAAGCTATTGTCTATTGACTGGACGTCGACTCAATTTGTGTGTTGGATAATAGCAGGACGAATCAGGTTATGGTTCTAATGCATATTGTCGATAGAAAGCCCTAACATGTTAGGATTTTGTGTTTCGTATTGTATGGTGAAATGCATCAATATAGAACGTACTAAATCACAATATATGTTAGAATGATAATAAAAAATTGAAAGGGACATGTTAATGATTGTCGAATTGCGTTCCGTATTTTATGATGATTGGATCAAGATAGAACATACTTAGGGGTCGTTTGGAAGTTGTGATTTCAAATGGTGTATTGAGCTAATTCATGTATTTGTGAGATTAAGTCGTTTTTTTAGGTTATATTGAACTAGAATACATGCATTCACTTTTTGGAGGCCCCACCACAATCACTCAAAATTGAGGGATTGTGAATCTCTACTTTTTGTTGAGATTGTTCACAATCACTCAAATTAACTTTTATGCTTTTACAACAAAAACACAATCTAAACCTCCAAACAAAGTATTTGTCTAATACATCAATTGATTAAATACATCAAATGATAATACACTAATTGACCCAATACATCAATTTGAAAAATCACAACTTCCAAACAACCCCTAAATCACAATACTTTATAATCATAACCAAATTGGGAGAAGGGGTGTTTGTGCCAATGCGATAGACTACTGCTATTCTCAGATTACACATGGAAACCAGATTTTTGATTCTCCACCTCATCTAATACATTAATGAAGTCCCCCAACACAACGATGCAATTAACGAAATTACAACGTGACATAGACCACACTTTATACAGCCATTAGAATAGACTTCCAACAGAGGTTCTCATCTCTTAGCTACATTCATCAAAAAGGACTTCAAGTTGGAGCAACCAAACCCAAAGGTAGCCTAAGTACTACTGCTGCTTCTTCCAAATAACCCCAATCTTCTTCAACCCATTCTTCTTCTTATTCTTCAACAAAACATCATCATCACTCATCTCTTCCCCGTAATGTGACTGGATTCCCCCATACTTCCCGCCCAACGACCTACTTCTCTCCATAAACCTCCCACTGCTCCCTGCCCAAAGCATACCAACAGCTGCTTCTGCAGCTTTCCTCCACTGATCACACTGCACCTTCACCCTCCTCACCTCTGCCTCCATCTCCCTATTTGCTTCCCCTGCTTCCTCTAACTTCTTTATTGCTGCTTCTCCCTCGGCGGCCCTTTCACTCATTTCCATCTGCAACCTCTTGTTCTCCTCCAATACGTTCTGCAGCTCCGTTTCCTTGTCCATCAAGTCTGCCATAATACCATCAGTTACCACAACAGTACTCTCTCTCTCAATCATCTGTTTATTGTCGCAGCATGACTCAATCTTCTTCAACTTCACGTTCAGGCCTTCATTCTCCTCCGAGATGCCTTGCAATTCAGTTTCTTTATCCATCATTTCGGCTCTCAGCTCCTCGATGCACGCTTTAGCCTGCTGCAGCTCGGCCTCAAGTTCAGCCTCCCTCCGCTGCGTGGTACTGTGAGTTTTCTCTTCCTTGCTCCTCTCCTCATCACTAGCCTTCAGCAAGGATCTCAATTGGGAGACCTCTTCTCTCAACGCAGCAATCTCAACCATCTCAGCTTCATGGAACCTGAGCGACTCAACAGTCTTCTTGGCTGCTTCCAGTTGCAGCAGAGTTTCATTAGCCTCCGCCTTGCCTGCAGCTTCCATTTTCTTGCTATCCTTGTTTACCTGACTCTTCATGGTCTCTCCTTATAATCTCCTTTTTACCTGACCTTATCTTCAGTTCATCCGGGAGTTGAGATATCTGCTCCTCCAACTCAGATATTCTGCTAATAACCACAAAAAGTATGTAATGGATTGAAGTTCCCTACTGGTTAAGCAATGGAGATGTAAGAGGGACACATGGAAGATGAACAAACAACTTTCACAAAGTTTCTTCAAAGGAGGGTTTGTCTATATGACTCTATCAGCCCCAATATCACTACCAATCAAGCATTTAAAGCCATCTCTCAATCAATTCTGATGCCAGTCAGTGTTACAGAACCGCCCTTCATTAAGTTTCACCATACATTAACATGGGTTGGGTCCCCCCAATTCTGAAAGCTCCATTCTCATGCCTGAAAAAGGAGAGACCATATTTCTATCTTAACTCATCTGCAATTCACAGTTATCGTCAACTCTGGGTTACTCAACTACTAACAACTTACTCCCACCAGAGAAATGGAATACAGTTACTCTGGGACTGTTACTGTAAATACCAAAATGAGAAGTGACTGCATAAATGGCAAATAGCATTGCAAAGATCTGAACTTTACCCTTTCAACACCCAATGAAAAGCATTGTTTCATTAATGGCATGAAACAGCAGAATCCCACAGCGTAAATCGAAGGCCCCCATCATTGATTGCTCACTTCTCCCAGTGGCCTTCCTTGTTTACTACCATTAGAGGACCTCAAAAGAGACAAAAAGAAAACAACAGAAGGGGCAAAAGAAGAACACAAGGAAGTACAAGAACTGTTTCTTGTTATCAATTTACCTTGCATTGGCCCCCTGCATTTTGTGAACTTAACAAAACCCTTATATTGCGGCAGAGAGCAAACCACTGTGAAAAGTCTTTGGAGCTTTCATTGAGCCTTTGAGAACTGTTTCAATGCTCCCCCCACCCTGACCCACAAGTTGCAGTAACCTGTCCATAGTGGAAAGGCAAAATATGAGAAAGGAATTATGGCAATGGAGAATCCAATGCTAGTGAAAGGCCAAAACAGAGTTAATGAAATCATGTCAAAGGAAAGAAACACCATCATCAGACATCAGCTGCTGCTCCCTTATCATTTCAATTTGCTCCACTAAGGGCAGTAAATCCAAGAGGAGCACCCGGGGGAAAAGGGCAGATATTGCACGTATGATCAAGAACCAAATAGGCAAATAGTTGAGAACTCAGAAATCTTCTTACCCTTCCAATTCTCATCTAATGTTACGACACGACATCAACAAACAACAATACAAAACCATTATTGTATGGCAAGGTCCCTATCACCAGCTAACCATGAATTGTTGTGACATCTACCCTCTCAATCCGGCTACTGTGATTAAAATATCGGACATCCTTGCAGCGCCCACAACTGTTCGATCCAACGTTAAATGCTTAGATGAACAAGGTAAGATCGTCTATATTCGTAATTTTGAATGAGCAGCAGTCAAGAAAAGTCTCCAATCATTCATCCTTCCTCCAAAGTTGCCGCAATTTAAGGGGTTTGGATTAAAATCTCTCAATTAAAAACCCAGGTATTTTAAACGTGGGATTTGATCCAAATAACATGTTTGGGAATAGATGAAGGATTTTAATTAAAAATTAAAGTTACAATTATACACATCCCTAATCCCTAAGGAAGAATAAGAAAGGAAGAACAAAAGGAGGGGCAGAGTTTGGAAAAGAATGAGAAAAAATGAGTGATTTTGAAATAGCTGATCCCCATCAGCTATTTTAAAAACTCTCATATGAGAGATTTAGAATTTCCTCATGCCCACGATCTCTCACCTTTCCAAACACGGAATTATTTTAAAATCCTGCACAACGAGAGATTGTTTTAAAATCACTCATAAATCCCTCATCACATTCACTAATCCAAACGACCCCAGATCAATTTCCCTTTCTTTTCCTTGAAAAGTTAAAAGCATTTTTTTGGTACATAATGATCATGATCAGTTCAGATATAATATCAACTTGATCATATCATCACTTTACGATCAATTCAACGAGGTCAAGACTGAGCTCCCAAATCATAATGATCAAACGTCGCCTACGACCTCGTGAACGAACTCTGCAATTCCACCACTCAATTCCTTACTCGCCACGCTCAATTCCTTAACTTTCCTCCTCATTTCGCTACCCTGCTCCATCAAACGCCTAATCCCTCCTTCAATCTCACCGGCGGCCACAACCCCGGAGCTCCCCATCACATAATCCATCCTGATCTCCACCGCCATTCCAACTTCCTCCACCAGCTCAAACGCCGTGAACTGCTGCTCCGCGTACATCGGCCACGCGGCCATCGGAACCCCAAACCACACGCTCTCCATAGTAGAATTCCACCCGCAGTGCGACACGAACCCTCCGGTCGCCTTATGCGCCAGAACCGCCGCCTGTGGCGCCCACCCAATCACCTTCCCCACCGTCGCCGTCCGATCGAGAAACCCTTCCGGCAGAACTTCACCCACGTCGTCGTAGTCCGTCGGGTGCGCCCTCACGCCTTCCGGTGCGCCCTTCCTCAGAGACCACAAGAACCTCTCCCCGCTTTTCTCCAGCGCGATAGCAATTTCTCTCACCTGATCGGCGCCGAACGTCCCCAAGCTGCCGAAGCAGAGGAACACGACGGAAGAATCCGGCTGACCGTCCAGCCACCGCAGGATCTCGGCCGTTGACGATTCCGACGCGCCTCCACCGTCCAGATTCAGAATGGGCCCCACTGGGTACACCTTCGGGATTTCCATCTCCGTAAGAGACTCCAGCGAATGGGATTCCATCTCCCTGATTGTATTTACGAGGATGCCCCTGGCTCGCCGGAAATTCCGGCCATGATCCAGTATGATGGAAAGCCACTCCTCGTTCATAACGGCGGGGGGAACGACCTTACGTGGCAGCGGTTTGGCGAAGAACGGAACGGATAGCTCGGATTCGGTGGATTTCGTCAGATCCAGGCCCTGGTGGTCGAATTTGGCCTGGATGTGGAAGGTGAAGGCAAGACTGGCGGCGCTGGACGGGTAGAATATGTAGGAAGGGAGGCCGTGCTCGTCGGCGATGTCGATCATCGAAGTGCAGAACATGTCGAGAACGAATCCGGCGAGTTGCTGTCCGGTGGAGATGAGGCGGGAGACGGCGTCTTTGACTTGGGGCTTTTTGCTTTCCACGAAGGAAACGTAGGTGGGGTTAGGATCGGAGGGGTCGTCGTTGTTGGGGAGCTGGGTGATGCTGAGACGGGTGGAATGTTGACCGGCGACGGAGATGGAGTTGATGTAGTCGTGGGATTTGCTGGTGGTGGAGCGGGACTTGATGGCGAGAAGGACGACGGAGAGGTGGTGGTAGCGGTGGATGAGGAGCTTAGCTAGCTCGACCATTCCCACCAGGTGGCCGATCCCCGGCGACGGGATCAGCACCAGTTGCGGCGCCATTTTTTTGGATATCTAGTTGATTGCCGATGGATGCGGAATTGGATTGGGGCAACACCGGCCGGGAAGAAAAACACAAAAGAGGAAAGCTGACTTTTCAGAAGTTTGACTGGGGGGAAGACGGGAAATAATAGGACAAAGCCCAAAGGAGATGAGTAGATGACTAATGACGTCATTGCATTGCTGTATGTGTGCGAAAAGATGGGCCGGCATCATGGGTACGCAACTACGCATTATGTGAAGTAATGGGCTTGAGTCAGTGTCCAAGATGGGCCGGCTGGAGCTGGAGATTGACCCAGTATGGGCTTCCTCTGGAAAGTGGTTGGACTTGGATAGGGCTCTCAGTCTCAGATGGGGAGGACGGAGGAGGTGTCCTTTCGGTGGGGATGGGTTCGGCTTTCGGCTATCAGATTTGGCATCACTTAAACATCGATTAACGAAAATCAAAACCCTACTTAGGGATGGCAATCAGGAATGGCAATGGGCAGGTCCGGGGCGGGTTTCTTGGTACCCACACCCGTCCCGTGGCAGGTCGGGTTCAGGTCGGGTAATTGATCATGAGTCGCGGGTTGGGGCAGGTCGACCCAATGGGTATGCAATTTATATGAAAAACATTAGAAATATTCGTTATTTTTATTATAAGACTAAGAAAACAAACAATATTATGACAATTGTAGTTAAATTATTGGAGAAATTGAAGTTTTTACTAATTTACAACTTTATTATAGCTAAAACATGATGCAATAAAAGGAAAATTCTAAGTAATTTGACTAAGATTACATGTAATTTAGACAAGAACGGGTCGAGAATGGGGCGGGTCAGGGCAGGTCGGGTCGATGAGACTACCCATGCCCGCCCCGCCCCAAAACAGGTCAAACAGGTCGGGTAAAACGGGTCAGGTCGAAATTGCCATCCCTAATGGCAATTTCGACCTGATCCGTTTTATCCGACCTGTTTGACCTGTTTTGGGTGGGTCCGACCCGTCCCATAGGCGGGGCGGGGCGGGCATGGGTAGTCTCATCGACCCGACCTGCCTTGACTCGCCTCATTCTCGACCCGTTCTTATCTAAATTACATGTAATATTAGTCAAATTACTTAGAATTTTCATTTTATTGCATCATATTTTAGCTATAATAAAGTTGTAAATTAGTGAAAATCTCAATTTCTCCAATAATTTAACTACAATTGTCATAATATTGTTTGCTTTCTTAGTCTTATAATAAAAATAACGAATATTTCTAATATTTTTCATATAAATTGCATACCCATTGGGTCGACCTGCCCCGACCCACGACCCTTGATCAATTACCCGACCTGTACCCGACCTGACACGGAACGGGTCTGGGTACCAAGAAACCCGCCCCAAACCTGCCGATTGCCATTCCTAACCCTACTCATTATAAAATAAGAAAAACATAGAGAATCCTGAATTATTGGCTTTTAAAATACACGCAATTTCAATCACACTCCACCACTACCACATGCCAGGTTTCCAGGCAAATGTGGATGAAATTAGCCGTCCAAAATTAATTAAAAAAATTTCAAGTCAAAGGGCAAGGATCCTATCAACAAATCAAGTTGTGGCATCTTTAAAACACATGACATTGATACAACCGTGGCCTCTCGAAGTCAGACACTTTTGATTAATAGATAAATCCTTATATGGTAAAATTTGAATCTAAATGACATTGACTAATCACATATTGTATTTTCAAAAATAACATGAGGGATGATATTTTACATTTCATTGTTTTTAAGTGTTATTTTGAAATATATAATGATGTCAACCTCATATCAGTTAATTTATACGATCCTGTTACAATTCAGGTAAACTAATAACTTTTCTACTATACGCTTTGGTATTTGAAGGTACAAATTAAACTTATTCCATAAATTGAAGTTACAAAACTATAAAAGGAACTTGTAACTTATGCAACCATTCTATCTTAAACCTACAAGGCAAGTTAAAGCATTAACCCCTAGTACAGTCATATCTAGAAGACTAGAAGGTAGATAGATACAAACACTTCCAACAAAATATAGAAAAACCAATAGGAAGACACTCTATACTCTACAGCCAAAACCAGCAGAAGCAACCATGCAACCCATCTCCCCTGCCAGACAACTGTCCCAACCCCCGGGGCATCCATGTCATTTCACCTCACCACCCTCAATTTCTTCAATTAAGTCTTCACTTCACTCCACCACAACCCCTGCATCTGAAGAAGCAAACAAACCGAAACTCCTCTGCCCCATTTCCCTCTCATCTCTCATAACCCCAGAATACAACAAATCCCAGCAATCAGGCAGCGAAGATGAGAGCTACGAACCACTTGATCGGTCTCCTCAACTTCCTGACCTTCCTCCTCTCCATCCCAATCATCGGCGGCGGGATATGGCTCAGCACCAGGGCCAACTCCACCGACTGCCTCAAATTCCTCCAGTGGCCCATCATCGTCATCGGCGTCTGCATCATGGTCGTCTCCCTCGCCGGGTTCGCCGGCGCCTGCTACAGGAACACCATGCTGATGTGGGTCTACCTCTTCGTCATGTTCTTCGTCCTCGCCGCCCTCGTCGGGTTCATCATCTTCGCCTACGCCGTCACCGACAAGGGCGCCGGCCGGTCGCTGCTGAACAGGGCCTACTTCGATTACTACCTCCAGGACTACTCCGGCTGGCTGGAGGAGAGGGTCGCCAGCGACAGCTACTGGGGCAAGATCGCGTCCTGTGTAAGAGATTCCAAGGCATGTGCGAAGATGGGCGTCACCGTTAATGGCGTCCCTGAAACTTCTGATATGTTCTACCGCCGGCGGCTAAACTCCATCCAGGTAATTAACTTCCTTCTTCCTTCCTCTGCTTCTTTTTTCCTTTTTTTTGTCTGCACATAAGGTGGTTCAGTAAAAAATTTGAGTTTCCGAAAGCTGCTGAGATGGTTAATCGATCAATTACAGGCTGGGAATTTTGGATTTTGTTTTAGTGTTTCAGAGTACAGGGCAAGTGAGTAAAGGCAAAATTAACTGGATCATTTTCGCTTTTTTTCTTCTTTCTCGGATAAATTTCACCACACATTATGTTGGAAATTTTGACCGACATCAATTACAAAAAAAAAAAAAAAAACCGGAACCGCCTCACCAGCAATTAGATATTTTTAAGCAGAGAAATGGACAAACTATCCAGTCGGTCGCTTGTCGTTTCCGAGGAAAGTGCTAAGCCCAATTATCGTGTGATGTCCCCCACCATTAGCCAGTTGGGTAAGAAATAATTGCAAAATATAATCATGTCCAGATTGATTTTGTTAATTCTTCTGTTTTGGATATGAAAATCTGTCTTCCTTCGTCTTTTGCTTTGATTTATTTTAGTGCTCATAAAAGAATTCAGCGAAGTGATGATGTAGTTAAATAAGCTCCCTTCATTTCTTTCGGCTTGTATTATAGTGCACATATCATTGACAACGAGTTTCTGCTATTAATGGGGTCGAGTCCAGTAGAATTGTGTTGGCTGTTTCTTTCTTTTATCTCCAAAAGGACTCTCCTTTTAGGTCGACAGGAAATCAGCGAGTATGAATGGCTGGATTTGGGTCAGCAACTACAAGTGTTAACTATTGCCCAAAAAGAATTGAGTTCTATTAAGCTAAAGTTATAGCAGAACTGTAGAATGGGAAAAGGGATATGCATATTCGTATAGAGTGCAAAATTATAAAGCTCGATTATTGGATCTAGTCCGATGATTCGTTTCTTGCCCTTTTTCTGGGCTGCAGAACATGGTTAGGCTGGAATACAGTGTTAAGGGATCCAACCCTTTTCCTCTAAGCTTTCCTGATTCACTCCCAATATTTTAGTCTGTTGACTTTAAGTCATCATGACCGTTGCAATGGATACATGTGAAGGATGACCCCAATATTAAAAAAATGAATAGATCAGGGAATTGCAGGTAGATGGCTTCAATTCACAGCTCTATGATGACTGCTTAGTATGGGCAGTGATGCGAAGTAAAAAGAATAATGTTCCATTTCTGAAGTTCTGATCTTGCTTTCTACTTTCAGAAAATCATGGAGTGGGCTGAGGTAGCTTATCTTTTTAGGTAGTTGTTGTCTTGTCTCTTTCCTTTGAAATGACTCGACAACTGGTGTATTGTTAATTTGTTATCAGCAGCTTCAGCTCTCCTAGTATCAGGACCCACATATTCAGCAATGACCACACCTTGTTACTTATTAGCCTCATCCATGTGCATTTATTGTTAGATGCTGATCTGGGCTGAATCTCCTAGTAGAAAGGAATAAGCTTTGTTAGGGTTTGAGAGGGAAAAAATCATTTGATCATTGGAAATTTGAGAGCCTGATGAATTCCTTTGTGTTGAATGTGTGGTCTAATGTGCAGTCTGGGTGCTGCAAGCCGCCGACAGAATGTGGATTCACCTACGTGAACGAGACTATATGGACGTCGTCAGGAGGCGTTGTGTACAACCCTGACTGCAACCTCTGGAGCAACGACCAGGCGCAGCTATGCTATTCGTGCAGCTCCTGCAAGGCCGGTGTTCTGGCAAGCATCAAGAAGAGCTGGAGGAAGGTCTCCGTGATTAACATCGTCGTGCTGATCATCCTGGTCATCGTCTACGTCATAGGATGTGCAGCTTTCAGGAACAATCGCCGGATGGATAACGACGAATCTTACGGTCAGGCGAGGATGACAAAAGCACGACCTAGTAGCATCCAGTTCTAAACTGGGAATGCAGATTTTTATTACTCAGGACGAAAAATGTATGTTGTGCAATTTTTATAGTTTTGGGTATATGCTTAGTTAGGACTGATGTCTGAAACATGGTTGGTTCTTGTTTGTGGGTTTTGAAGGGACTTAGTTGTATATGTTTTGCTTGCAAGAATCTGCATTTCCATTCTGGTCATCATCAATCCTTGTATAAGAAAGGAAGGCAACATGAAAGAAACTAATGTACCCACCAACTCCCTTCTCTAGACTCTTATGTATCGTGGTGCTTCTATACATTGCAAAGTAATGCTCTTTCGGTCTTTCCAAGGTTAAAGGAGTAGCAGCAAGCATGGGAATCTTTATGTTACCAACCAAAAGCAAAACAAAAAGATTCAGCTCGATTTCTGGAGATACAGCAGCAAAAGGTGTGCGCGTTGAAGGATTGTTAAGTCATGCGAATCATGTCTTATCTAGGAATGAGAAAAAGGAATCACCCATCCTTCACAAACGTGCAAATTTCACAACTTTGTAGTAAAGCAATCAATACCTGTGTGCTTGAGTTACGAGATTCCATGTTGACTGAAACCTCGGGTCTCTGTAATATATATGCATCACAGGTGAGTTTACCTAAGCAGAAAAAACTTGAGTTTTTGTAGCAACCAATGAAACTTGAGTTCCAAACCAAGGATTCCAAGAGATCACCTAAATACTATCTACAAAGTAATACGGTGCACTTACTCACAAGTCACACCCTACCAAACTTCTTAAACATTGTTCGTTTTTGTAGCAACCAATGAAACTGCTCATAGGGAGAGATCAATAAAACCATCACTCGTACGTTTTACCACAAGAAAACAATCACGAGGTCATTCGTTCTATGAACGAACACTAATTACAATGAGTTAGCGCATGAGTTTTATCAGGTTACATATATATATGGCATCCCTTTCTACAGAGAGAGTTGAACAAGAAATCAAAGGGAACATACCAAAACACAAGCTATACGAACATCAAGTTGAACAAAGAAATCAAAAGGGATATATACGTGACGTATACCGCTATGGCTACTGTTGACACCTAAAATTAATTTGGGCCGAAATTAAATGCTCATCTATTAGTCTTGGCATTAATTCGATACCAGGGCCGGCCCATTATATTCGGGGGCCCTATTCGTAAATAAAAAATGTGGCCCCAAAATTTTTAAAATAATTATAAAAAATACATAAGTTCAGAAAATTATTACAATAGGGATAATATTATCGATCATTGTTTGAAAAGTAACAACCGTCTAGTATTACTTGAAATAAAATTCTCTATTAATTCTTCCATCTTTGCATCCTCCAAGAAGTTATTCTCAATTGCCAACATAGCTAACCCGTTAAGCCTCTCTTGTGTCATTGTAGAGCGCAAATAAGACTTCAACAACTTCAACTTCGAAAAGCTTCTTTCTGCTGTAGCAACAGTCACGGGAATAGTTAAGAAGATTCTATATACAATGCTTGCATTAGGAAAACAATCGACACGTTTCAAAAAGTTTAAAATTTCAAAAGGAAGAATACATTCCTTAGGTAAAAAGTCCGGTAATAACTTAAGCTCAGAATATAAATCATTACCATCAATATCAGATTGGTCCTTATTCTTAAGAATGGTTTGAATATGCATGCAAGAAGACTTCAATTTTGAATCATCCATGGAAAATAATTTCTTAGAACTAAATAAGAAACCAAAATTAGATTGAAAACTACTATATTGCTCAAATCTTTTAGTAAGTGAAGAAATTGCTTGATCCACTACGCATAGGAAATAATTAACTCTAAATGATTCCTCCCTAGATAAAGATGCATTACTTGAAGAATTTTCAGAAACCTCGTCAAAATGCCTCTTCCTTTTGATCTCGCGCTTTTGAGGGAAATTTGGAACAACATCCATTGTTGTGCAAACTTCCTTCGCAAGCTCTAAGGCTTTTTGAAAACCATCTTCTCTATATCTTTTGAAAAATGAAATTAATCCATCTATTTTTAAAATAGCATCATCAATAAGTATATCTTTGGATTGTAATTGTTTACTAACTAAATTTGTTGAAAACAATATTTCATACCAAATAACTAATGAAAGAATAAATTCAAAATCACCAAGTTCATTTCGTGCTAAAGATTCAGCTTCACTGCTAATTTTTGAATCGCGATCAACATTAGCTACTTGAAGTAAGGCTTCTCTCACTTCTGGCATTTGAAACCTAATTGCTTTTACACTTTCAACACGACTCTCCCAACGAGTAGATGATAACGGTTTCAAAGTCAAATTAACATTATGTTTTAAAATAAGCCATCTTTTATTGGAATTTGAAAATAGCGTATAAATACGTTGAATAATTCCAAAAAAGTCTCTAGCTTTACGACAAGAATTGGCCATATCACATAATGTCAAATTAAGGCTATGAGAAGCACATGATGTATGAAAAGCTCTAGGATTTACATCTAATAACCTTCTTTGAACACCACTATGTTCTCCTTTCATATTTGATCCATTGTCATAGGATTGACCTCTAATGTTATCAATGTCAAGATCAAGAGAATTCAACTCATTTTTAAGAACATCAAATAATCCTAAACCTGTAGTATCATCCACTTCCAAAAACCCCAAAAAAGACTCCTCAATTGAAATAGAATTTGAAGAGAAATCCACATACCTTAGTATCATTGACATTTGTTCTTGATGACTTATATCGGGAGTACAATCAAGAATAACAGAAAAATACTTTGCTTGCTTTATCTTTCCAATAATTTTAGATTTAATTTCATAAGCAAGCAAAAGTATAATTTCATTTTGAATTCTATGACCAAGATAATGATGATGAATCTCATCATTTGTAATGCGACGAACATGCTCTTGAATAACAGGATCAAACTCATCCAACATCTCAACCAAACCTAAAAAATGACCATTGCTATTTTGGTATAATTTTTCATTACTACCACAAAATGAAATATTACGTTTAGCAAGAAACTTAACCATTGAAATAATTCTCAATAAGACATTTCTCCAATGACACTTTTCTTTCTCAAATTCTTTTTGGGCTACTTTGTCTATTGTTTGGTTCTTTTGAAGTCCCAAACGCAAATCATACCAAGTAGCCATATTTTTAATATGTTCTAGACTAGTTTCATGCTCTTTCATCCTACCTATAATATGTGACCAATCATTAAAACCTTCATTTGCCAATTGACCCCTTACACCTCTTTTTTTAAAAACTTTACAACAAAAACAAAATATTCTATCAAGCTCTTTCGAATAAACAAGCCAATCCCTATCACGCTTTTCACCATTTGGCATAACTTTAGTAAACCAACTTGCACAAAATCTTTTTGAAAACTTATCTTTAGGACCCTTTTCAATAGATAAATCTCTTTTGGGACCCTTCTCAACCAAAATATCAACATTTTAGAATGAAGAGAATCCCATGTTCTAGGATCAAAAATATCAAAATTTTCAAAATCTTCATCAAAACTAGCTTGATCTACCACATCAAAATTAGGAGTACAATCAACACTTGCATCAGAATTTTCAACAACAATAGGAGGAACATTAGCATTAGCATCCAAAACATCATTAGCATCAACAACATGATCAATATGAGCATTATCACTTAAAACATCATTAGCATCAACAACACTAGGAGCAATATTAGCATCACAATCGTTTTCTTTCACCAAAAATTTATGAAGAGCTCCTTTTTGAGATTGAGTTAACAAATTAATCCTCTGTTTTTTTTTACGCTTAGAACAACCTGATTCAAATTTTCTAGATGACATAATCTCAATAGCAATAGGCAATCAAGACAAATCCCTAAAAAAAACAACATTGTTAGAGCTACACTCGGCCCACAGGCCACAACAAGAATTAATCATTAAACAAAATATGAAGAATGGCCCATTTTGACTTTAGGTCTTCGCCCATTGTTCTTTTCACAGAATCACGTTCCCCTTTGACAGTCGGCCATAGCAAAGAAGAATAGCAGAGGCCAGAGGAGAAGCAGAGCAATAGGAGAACATAGTCTCCTCTCCAGTATCTCCAATTCCAATTGCCAATTTTCAAACTCAATTAACCATTCTCATTTGACCATTCTCCGAGACAGCTAGGGACAGGAAATTCTTACCGATTTCCAAACCACGGAGAGACGGAACCAAGTCGGAATTGGGATTCTCAGAACCAGGGGAAGAAGGCGAGCGGGAGCGCCGAAGTGGAACCACCGAACCAGCCGAAATAATTAATTGGTTTCGACTAATCGGTTGCTTCTATGCTTCAGGATTTAGCAAGGAGGGGATTGATTTTATCAATCGATGAATGAAAATAGAAGGCTGGGTGTGGATGCTTCACCTTCTTGGCTGAGTATTTAAGGGTGATTGAGGATTAGAGAAACGTTGAGAAGAGAAATGTTGGTGGATTAGAGACGTTGGTGGATTTTTGGGAAGATGAGAATTTTGGAGAACCAATACCATTAATGATTGATAATTTTGGGAAGGGAAGCGAATATGAAGGCTGGCCGCCCGCCGCTGCTGTGCACGCTGACTCCGTCTCTTCGGCTGCCTATCCCGATTTTAGGTTTTTTTTTATATGTATAGTATATGGGCCAACTTTCTGAGGCCCCAAATATTGTGAGGCCCTGTGCTGTGGGTCAGACCAGCACAGGGCCTGGGCCGGGCCTGTTCGATACCGCAGGGAAAAAACGGTGTCGTTTGGAGTCAAGCGGCGTCGCGGAGAGTCAGTACGATACAGAAAACGGTACCGCAAGGAAACTCAGCGGTACCGCGGCACGGGAAATGACACCGCTCATCGAAAAACAAAAGGGGCCTCGCTTTTAGTGTGGGTTATGGAAAAGGATTTTTCTAATTAATTATTATTTTTATTCTTTTTGGAAGGGGAAAAGCAGCACCGCGCGCGGAGAGCTAAAACGGTACCGTGGATCTGAAAACGATGCCGCGAGAGCCTTGACAAGCGGTACCGATTAATTAAAAACCACATCGGGTAAGTGATTGGCCCAAAAATCCGCCCAACCCAAACATGCAAAATCGCGGCAATTTAACGTTGGTATTTCTTTTTATTATGTTAGGCGGTGTGGTTTAATTCAAAACAACACCGCGAGTATGCCCAACGGTGCCACTGTACTAGCAAACGACAGTGTTGAAAAAAAAACGGTGTCGCGGAGGAAAAAACAAACAGAGCTGATTGAGGAAGAAAACGACACTGCAAGGCTGGAAGCAGAGTCGTTTAATATTAAAACGATGTCGCGGGTATAATCAAGCGGCGTTGTTTAGCTAAAAACGACACCGTTTAAGGCATCAACAATGCCGCAGTATTACTAAGCGATGTCGTTTAGTTAGAAACCATACCACGATGGTTTGGATTTTGGCGAGTGGCCCGGCAAGCTCAACGACACCGCAAGACAAGAAAAACGGTACCGTTTGGTAGAGAACAATGTCGCGGAATGAAAAACGACATTGCTTGATGGGACCGGGACGGAGCAGTTCAAAGTCGGCATCGATTAGTGAAAAGCGATGCCGTAGGAAAGATTAAACGACGCCGCAGGAGGTATCAACGACATCGCGGTATCATAAACGATATCGTTTGATTAAAAACGATATCGCAGTGGTTAAGAGCTCGGTCAAAGGTGGTCCGCAAAG